TGAAAAATTCAGGCTTGGGAAGAATTTCTATTCTGAGAATTCCTTCAGGGATGCCTGCGCACTCTTCTATGAATAGGTGATATGAGTGCTTTAAGTATAAATAATAGAGCCATAGCCAAAGTTTAGAAGGAAAAAAAAATGGACAGACACGAATTGACAATGCGTGTCAGAATCTCTGCAGCTGCTTTTCTGTCTAGTTTATGCTATTTTCAGCAAAACCAACAAACCCCTCTTCCCAGGAGACTATGTATGGTCATTATACATTTGGGAATCAATCAGTCAACAAGCAGTTATTATACACCTACTATGTGCCAGGCACTGTGTTAAGTGCTGGGGAAACAAAGGCCAAAATGAAACAATCCCTGCTTTCAAGTAACTTACATTCTATCAGCTGAGATAGTATATACATATATATTTATATATATATGTGTGTGTGTGTATGTATATATATATGTACATACATATACCATATATTTATACAAAAGAAATCCAAGGGGGTTTTGAAGAAGCAGTCACTAGCAGTTGGCAAGTGGGACTGAAGTCAGCAGAGAGTGTATGGTGGGGACTGCAATTTGTATGCCACCTTTTGGACACTTTCCTGGGATGCTTCCATCTAATTAGGACTATAAAAACTAAAATATTCTGAGCTATGGGCCAACTGACTGAGCACTTCCACTTGAGACTGCAGGGAGAAAGAATATTTACAGAAGGGAGGGGAAATGGAGATGATATATAATTGATCATCTGACCACATTAGCATTTCCATCCCAGGTCAGCAGTTAGGGACGGTATTTAGAAGAGGTAGTCAGAGGTAACAGAGCTGGTGCTGGTTCAGGCCCACCCATACCTGTTGGCAAACAGAGAACATGTTCAGAGAGAGGCCAGGTACAATTCAGAGGAGTGCATTTCAGGGCATTTCTGTTTTGATTTAGATGTTGAGGATGGGAGAAGGGAAGAAGCCAAGAAGTTGGAATTTTAAGAACATGAAACTCAACGTGTTGAATCACTGGCCTTTAAACTGACAGATAAGCTTTCTGATCTGATTCTCTCTGCAAACATTTTGAATTTTTCTTTTGAAGTTATATTTCTTAAGAGTCTGTCTATCAGTACCTGTGTCTGGGCCAATCCATAGCCATCTGATATAGTCAGAAAATGTAAAACCATATATGAAGAGTATAATGAAAACTATGCCTTCTCTTTTTGTTTTAAAGTTTCATAGCCTCATTTTTTCAGCCTTAATATTGAGTAGTTTGAAGTAGAAGGGAAAACAAAAACAAAAACAAACCTCAGATGAGGTTGTGGATATGGCCAGGGAGCAGTGACCTAAAGAATTTCCCTCTTATGTGGTGATCTATGGCCCTCCTAGTGACCTTCCCATAGGAAGGACATTAGGAGAGTTCTAGCATTCTAGCCAAAAATTCATCTGTTCATCCATCCATCCATCCATCCATTTATTTACCTACTTATTAATTTTTGACATTTATTTTTAAAAATTTTGAGTTCCCAATTCTCTCTCTACCTCCAGCCTATCCCCTGCCGGTTGGGAAAGGAAGCAATATGATACTCATTCATGTGTTTGCTTCTGGAGTTAGGATTTTTGTACATAGTTGAGGAGAGGACATATGATAACTGAACACGGACACAGAGAGCTAATGAAAATATGTTCCTATGTTCAACCTCTAAAACAATGTCTGTGACAGATTTATAGGATCCTGGCTTTTGAGGATAGGGCATCATGGCACTTCCAAGTGGGGAAATATCAGTTATGAATTTATGTAGGAAAAATGTAAAATTTAGAACAGACCTTAAGGAAACATTAAGTTTATATACAATAATAAATAAACATGTTTCATTTCCTGGAATATGAATCTGCTCCGCATGGGAGGGTGGGGGGCAAAGGGGATGGGAGATCAAGTGACAGGGGAAGAATAAAACTAGAAAGTTGTGTCCTTCCCAAGGGGTTTCTTACTTTAGAAATTTAAGAATGGAAAATTCAAATGCCCCAAGCAGTTAACTAGACCATTACCATGTTACTTAATGCTGAATGTGCCTCACTCAGAAGGCCAAGCTTGATGAACTCCTTCATTTGTTCCTGTGTGCCTGCCCCCCTCTAACCAGACACTTCGGCTTGTCCTTCCCTTGCTTTACAATATAACTGTAACTTTCTTTCTAATGACACTGAGCACTCACAGGGACTCTATGTCTCACTGACTTACATGGCACACCAAGAAACACTCATGAGAGTTGAGACACATTGTATATTGAGGGAAGCCATGCGTGGCACACACACGTGAAACCAAAACACATCTGGGTATGTCTACAGTCACCACAGCTGTCTGGCATTCCATGATCTTACCTTTGAAGTAAGGGATGTAATGATGTCTGAACATAGATGTAGGGCTTGGGTGTTGGGGCAGGGAGATGCAGCTACTGGTACCAAGACTCAGAGTACCAGCTGAGGGGGGCAACAGAGAGTAAGTGAAAATAAACTATGGAGGTCACTTACTTAAAAGCCAAAAAATATCCCTAGGAGTCAACATGTCCAGGAGAATTTTTCATTTCTTTCTCAGTGCTATGCAATCCTTTTTGCAGACCTGAAAGGGTGCTTTACAAACTATGGGCATGCTTTATTGTTGCTTCTGAAACACTGCCCCTTGGACACCAAAATAGGTCCACCAAAAATGGACCTATGATTAGATGGACATGAGTTATTTTTCAATAGCATTTGTGCTGAGCCTGCCATATTCTTTTTCCTTATCAGGTCTCCCTTATACACAATAGCCCCTATTTAAGAAAGCTGGGAAAAGATTCTTTGTAGTCAATGGAACAGAGCAAAGCTAATTGGCTGTCTCAGAACTGTAACCATCATCTTGGACTCATTGGCCTGTGCTCCATCCAAGTAAGCTGGCTACTCACAAGCTCAGCTTGCTGAGTATACACCTGGCATGGCTTGCCATACCAGTGCTCTGCACACAGAAGGTGCCCATTGACAATAAATGTTTCAACACATATTTATTGAACGCCATCACACACAAAGCCCCATGCAAGGAATAAAGGAAAAATGGTCTAGTGTTGGACTTGGTGCCAGAGGCTCCAGGTTCAAATTTCTGCACTGCTCTTTTCTACCTATGTGACCTTAGGCAAGTCACTTAACATCTTTGTGCCTCATTTTCCTTATCTACAAAATGACAAGGTTAGACTAAATAAATGATCTCTAAAATTCTTTCCAGTTTCAAATTCTATGATCCCATTTCTTTTTCTGCACATGTCCATAAACAATTGATACATTTCAAGAAGCTGAAAAGGTTGTCACCTTGAAATGATGATAAATTAGGAGACAGATTAGAAAGAAAAAAAATCTCCCCAAAATGCAGTATTGAATGGCATATGGTAGCAAACACAGTAGCTTTAAAGGGCAGTTCTGAGAGAAAAATTATTTTTTTTTCTTTAAAAGAAAGGACAATGAATCTTATGGGGCTACTGAATGGAATAAAGTGGGTGTAGACACCATATATCATGTTCTCATGATTGCTTTTTCTTGCCTTATTTATAGTCCTTCATTTCTGTAATGATCTTGTAATGTTTTGCTCAGTGGACTTTCTTAATGCTAGTTGACTACCTCTAACATTTATATAGCTGCACTAGCAGCTACTCTGCTGCTATATGCAAGGCACTGTGCTTGGCCATGGAGAAACAAAAATAAAAACTACACAGTCCTTTCTCTCAAGGAACTTGCCTTCTCTTGGGAGCAGAGATGTGACATGGACATAGATGTGTACAATGAAAGGGAGGGAGTGATGGGAGGCAAAAGAGGGAATGAACAAAGTATTCTAGGAGTATTGGAGGGAGAGGACATTTGTGCCTGGAAAAGCAAGGGAAGAATTCAAGGAGAAAGTGGCACCAGAGATGGGCCTTGAAGAAAGATAGAGATCCTGAAAGGCAGAGATAGGGAGGAATTATGTTCCCAGGTGACAGTTTGTTGGAATGCACAGAGGTGAGAGTTTGTATGTTGAATGTAGAGGGGAAAAGTCCATTTTGATGGGGAAAGTAGAATTCATAGGAATTCATGGGAAGGACAGACTAGGGAGGGGAGAGTGTGGGGTCCAGAAGATCAGTTAGGAAGTGATTATAAATTCAGATAAGAAATGATAATGATGTAATTGGAACTAGGTAGGATAAGTGGTGTCACCTTGAGTGCATAGATGAGGAAACTGAGGCTTGGAAGGGTTAAGTGAGTTGACCATGGACACTTAGTTGAGAAATGCTGGGGTTTGAACCCAAGTCTCCTGGTTCCAAGTTCATCCTTTTTCCATTATGCCACTCTTCCCCTCAGGATATATAAAAATGATGAACGTGATAATAATAATCCAACAATTCTACACATTTCTTCTCAAGTATGATATATCTACATCTCAGTCCATTGAGGAATTCAGTTTACTCCCTTTTAAAAGTGCAGTCTATGGTCAAACCAAACTAAATTACTTTCTGCTTCCTGAAAACACCTGGTACTTTCTATTCTCCATGCATTTGCTTTTTCTGTTCTTTATGCCTAAGCTATCCTCCATCTTTCTCCTGCTGCCTGATGAATTCCTAACAATCTTTCAAATCCCAGCTCGAATGTTATTACTTTGAAGGAAACTTCTGCTTCTCTACCACTCCCACCTTTTCCACCCTCCCCTGTAAGGTTATTCCTACTCAGACTTTGTATATACAATATTAAGTATTTGTCTGTCTGTGTTGGGGTCTCATACTCCTCTTAGATTATAAGCTCCTTGAGGACAAGACCATGTCATATCTAAATGTTTTCATCTTCCCAAGTACTTCACACAGTATTCTGCACATAGTAAGCACTTGATTGATGTCTGCTGTATTTGTTAAGGGATGGTGTTAGTTGAAGAAGCTCAAGTTGGTGAGAATTGTGTATCCCCAGATCCCACAATAGCAAGATGGTCTTTTATAATGTGGTCATATGAGGGGTGAAAACACTGAGGGTCACTTACCTGGTCTGCTATAATGCTGAGGGGAGCGGGAAGTTGGAGTATAACGCCCATAGCTGACTGATCCTGTAGAGCTTGGACTGGAGGTCCTGTATTGCTTGTATGATCGATCGTCTTGGTCACCCTGGGAGAAAATGGCATGGGAAGGGGGTAATGGGAGGGGGAAAACAATCTCATAAATTCAGGAAATCAAAAGAATTCCCTCGAACTTTAAATTATGATTAAAGTCCTTCCCATTGTGATAAGGAATCTCTGAAGAGATCAACTTGGAAGGCTGAAAAGGGGGTGCCATTTCTGCCTTGGAATGGGGTCAGCCCTTAGATTTGTCCTTTCCAATGGCCTCCAATGCACCCATTGGAAGCAAAGGCCAGGACTCTTCAATGTCTTCTCCTTCACTTATTGAGAATGGGACTCAAAGAGATCTAAAGAATCTTCCCTCCTCTACAAAGGGGGTAAAGAACTTAACACTGGAAACATTTAGCAAAAATTTTTCCCTCCCCTCAGATTCAGCCCACCCCCTAAAATGCCTTTTGTGACAGTCCCAGAATATTCTATGTGCTCCAAAGGGATGGTGAAAGATAAAAACAGACAGTGTTGGGATTTATGTATCTCATGATTAGGAATCTATGTTACATTTTCTGTTCAAAATAGGGATGGGCAATTGTTTTGAGCAGCTGATAGAACTGGGACAGAAACAGGCAGCGTGAGATGATATGATACCAATGTCACGTAAATAAAGTGGGTTTTCCTGGCCCAAGCCATCCTTTCCAGCAAAGCACGTGCAGGGGCCAGGCTGTACACAACACACAAAAAATTAAAGTTCATTGAATATTATTAATTTGCCCCCACAGGCCCAGTGCTGGGGGAAAAAAAACAGCCTTATTAGGACAGAACTGAATAAAGTCCAATTCATCCTGGCATTCAATGTCTTCTATCACCTGATTCCAATTTACCTTTTCAACCTTATTTCCTTTCATAACTACTCTCACTGAGGCTTAAACATAACCTGTGCCTTTCTGCCTCTGTGGCTTTGCTTATGTCAGATCTTGGGGGTGCCTTCTTCTCTCCCCTATTTCCTACATGTGATTCAAGAACTACTTTAAACTCTGCCTTCTCTATGAGGCCCTTGACCATCACAAACTCAGTGGTTTCTGCCTCTGGACTCCTTTGGCACTTAACTTTCTATACCATTTATTAGATATCCGTCCTCTATATACTGTATAATCGATCGTCTTGGTCACCCTGGGAGAAAATGGCATGGGAAGGGGGTAATGGGAGGGGGAAAACAATCTCATAAATCCAGGAAATCAAAAGAATTCCCTCAAACTTTAAATTATGATTAAAGTCCTTCCCATTGTGATAAGGAATGTCTGAAGAGATCAACTTGGAAGGCTGAAAAGGGGGTGCCATCTCTGCCTCGGAGTGGGGTCAGCCCTTAGATTTGTCCTTTCCAATGGCCTCCAATGCACCCATTGGAAGCAAAGGCCAGGACTCTTCAATGTCTTTGAATGAATCTCTTTATGGAAGTATAGCTTATTATTCCAACTAGAGCCAGTGATGGGGAACCTGTGGCCTTGAGGCCACATGTGGCCCTCTAGGTCCTCAAGTGTGGCCCTTTGATTGAATCCAAACTTCACAGAACAAATCCCCTTAATAAAATTCTAGTTACTAGACTGTGAAAGCCTTGAAGGTAGATGTGTACCTTCTCTATTTCCTCTGCCCCAACTCTAGCCCTCCACACAAGGGCTTTGCTTGTAGGGTACTTAGATATTTAATAAATATTTCTGATGCTTGATTGGTCTTGCCACAGGTCTCTGCCCTCTCTGATCAATCCCCTATATAGCTGTCAGAATGATATTTATAAAGTCCTATATCACTTCCCAGCTCAATAGACTCCAGAAACTCCCTAGTATATCTAGAACTGAGTACAGATTCCTAATTGGCATTTAAAGCCCTCTGGAATGTGGTTGCAAACTACCTACCATCCCAAACCTTTTTTACATGACTCCCCTTCACACATGCTACAGTCTAGGGCAAACTGGGCCATTTGCTGGTCCTCACACATAGCATTCCATTTCCTGTCTGTCTCTATTCCTTTGCAGAGGCAATCCTCCACTTCTGGAACATGCTCCCTCCTCACCTTTCTGACTCTTAGAATCCCTAGTGCCTTCAAAACTCAACTCAAATGCCTCCTAGATGGACTTTATTGATCTCCAAGTTACTAATGCACCCTTTCCACCATCTTGAATTTATTTTGTATATATTTATATAAACACACATCTTCTGTAGAATATAAGCTTCTTGAGGGCAGGGACTATTTCATTTTCGTCTTTGTACTCCCAACATTAGCACATTATAGGTGCTTACTAAATGCTTGTGAATTGATTATAGCGTTCTTCTCTTTGTTCTGTGTTTCTAACCTTTGACTTTCCCCCTAGACTATAAGCACACTGTTCTCTCCCTGGCTGCCCCCCATAGTACAAGGCACAAGGCAAACTCCTCACTGAATGCCTGTGTTTCCCTTCTTCACCTGAGTAGTAGTTTCTGAAGAGTTCACCATCACCACTGAGGCAGACACTAAGCAGGATTTGTGATATGGTGAGCAGACTAGATGATGCACAGCATTCTCTCCACCACAGTTTTCACCCTTCAGGAATATAACAGTTCAAACCAAATATCTCTGAAACCCCCTAGTCTGTGCCCCCTAATTCTGCACTTCTGGGGGCCATGACAGATGCAATGGAAGCATGCATATGATAATATCAGCACACTGGGGTTAAAGAAATAGCTCGGGCCGAACAGCAGTCCCTGGCTGACTCTGCAAAGGGTCCAAGACTGCAAAGAAGCGACATTCACACGAGCACAGGTCTGCAGTCCTGAATGGGGAGCTAGAGGGGTTATCTTTAGAAGCTGGTCTGATGCGCCATGAAAGACATTGTAAGACAACATAAGCTTTGAGGGTTACCTCCGGAGGAGTTGGAGAGAGCAACTGGGGTGACTGCAAACAGCAACACAGAGTAACAGATTAGTGATAGAACATCAGGCAGGATGTTACATCATTGGGGGAAAAGACATTTTAGTAACATAGGCAACACACATGAGTCATACAGATTAGAGCTACAGGATCCAGTTCCTTTTGCTAGATGAAGAAAAAAAAGGAAAGAATGAAAGAATGAGACTGAAAGAAAGAAAATAATTTTTCAAGATTTTTCTTGGAAAAAAAAATAGGGTGAAATAATTCCCAAAGAAAGTGTCTTCCCAAGGTATGTGTTCCATGATAGTGTCTTTGTCCCCTCTTCCTCCATGTTCAGGACAGCCCATAAGTTACAGGACGTAACATTTTAGAGCTAGAAGGGACCTTAGAACATAGAACATAGAATATCAGAACTGGAAGGGAGTTCAAAGACCCTCTAGTCTAAACCTCACTTTACTGATGAGGAAACAAAAGCATAAGGAAGTTAAATGACTTGCCCAAGGTCACCCACTTAATATGTATCACGGACAGGATTTGAATCCAGCTTCCTCCAACTCTCCTACTGCCCCAGAGTTTGGGATAAATAGAGTTGTGGAGTGTTAGAGCTGCAAAGATATTAGAGAATCCAACACACTTATTTTACAGAGTGGAAATGACCTGTAGAAGGTGCCATAGCTAATTAGTGGCAGGGCAGGGATTAGAACCCAGGTCTTCTGATGTCCAATCCAACATTCTTTCTACTACTTTTGTGTGATGATACACACTGTGAATTATGAGCTGAGTCAGAAATGAAAGCCTGTACGCTGATGTCCTAGCTGATGTAAATCACACGGTATCAGGATTGCAAAAGAAAGAAGGATCAGCCTCTTGCTAGGATTCATGAACCACCTGGCACATCCTTCTGTATCTGCTCTAACTATCAGCTAAATTCCCTTGTTGTCCTTCAGGTCAGGGATTATCCATGGCTTACTTCCAAGGGGGCACTTTGCCTATCATGTCATTTGAAGGGGAATACAATTAGAAATGTAAGAAACTAATAAGCAGGTCTTCAGTTGCTCTTAATGTTCTCGAATATTAACCCACTGAAGACTAGCATGCCTAGATGTAGGCACTTTAATTTCACTACTGACACTCACATCACACAGGAAAGCTGCCCAGGGCATGTAAGTGGTATTTGTACCAACTGGATTAATTCAAGAAGCATGATTGTTAACAAATGGCCAGGGAATCAGTTCTGTATGCATTCAGTATAGCAAAAAGAACACTGGACTTTAGGTCAGGCGAGCTGGGTTCAGGCTCTGGCTTAGACACGAGCTATTTGATTTTAGGCAGGAATCATAACCCACATGTCTATCATGTGGTAAATCTTATAAAGTACATTCCTTGCAATGAGGTACCTAGGTGGCATGGTGAATATAGCACTGGACTGGAAGTCAGGAAGAGCTGGGTGAAAATTCAGCCTCAGATACTCACTAGCTGTGTGACCCTGAGCAAGTCACTTAACCTCTGTCTCCCTCAGTTTCTTCAATGATAAAATAAGGGTAATAATAGCACTTACCTCCCAGGATTGTAGTGAGGAACAAATGGCATAATATTTATAAATATCACAAGCCACTTAGCACAGTGCCTGGCACTTATTAGGCATTGAATGTTTATTTCCTTCCCTTCCCCTTTCCCAACAACCCTGTGAGGGGGAAGCCAAGTATTATCATCCCATGCTAAAGATGAAGAAAATGAGGATGAATGAAGTTAAGAGATTTGCTCAAGGTCATACAGCTTGTAAATAAGTCAGCTCTTCTGGTAGTCAATCTTGTATTCTTTCTACTACTCTGTTGACCACTTACCCAATTTTAGTTTGTATCCCCATCTGTGAAATGAGTATTAAGATACTTGCACTTCCTACCTCATAAAGTCATTGTGAATAAGGTGCTTTGTAAACTTAAAGGCCCTTTAGAAATGGGAGTTAGTACTTATAGTAGTGATGGGAACATTTTATTCTTGGTCCCTCATTTCTAACGCTTTTTGGTATCCTATTTAATCTACCCCAACCTCCTTCTGCTTGTAGATCTTAGGGTGAGGGGACAAACTAGTAGGCAAAGGGGAGCTTGAATTACTCTGCCCTCATGAGATGGGCAAATGAGAAATGTGCAGATCCTTAGACTGCACACTGGGCTGGGCCAACCTGGCCTGGTACCACACTTTTTAATAATGGGCTGATGAAAGAAGGGTTCTTTCCTTGCTCTGTTCAGAGACCATATGAGATTAGGTTCCTGTGGCAGGCTGACTCTGCATGTGCTTTATTTCTTGCACATAAATTCCTGCAGTGAATGACAGTTAAGCTAACATTCAAGAATCTTCCTGGAGTTTTCTTAATGCAGTAACATTTGATAATGCAAAGGGGTTTACAAAACACTTTACATAAAATATCTCACTTAATTTTTGTGGACAACTCCCTGAGATAAGTACCATTACCCTTATTTTACAGATGAGGAAACTGAGGCTAAGAAAGCCGAAGTGATTTTCCTGGTGTCATAAGCATCTGGGGCAGGATTCCAACCCAGGTCTTTCTGCCTCCAAGTCCAGTTCTAATTACTCAGGCATCTAGATGTTTCTATGCAGAAACATTTCCCTACAAGTTAAGATGAGAGGTGAAGACCCTAGGGCCCCTGAGAAGAAGAGCAACCTGGGGGTTAGATCCAGCAGAAAACAGACAGACCCGAGCAAGGCTCCCAGAAGCAAGATGGGAGGAGGGGTTTTCCATGTACAAAGAAATGCTGACCCTGAATGAATATGTGGTTTCTCTAATGCCCTAAAAGTTGTCTGTGTTCCTCTTTGTCCTTCACTATGCTTCCCTATCCTATACTAAGACACCACTGACATGATTGCTGACACAAGTGACAATATTATACACCTTGGACGCCTTTTCTAGCTTGGGTAGTATGTGCGGAAGAATAGAAGTTAAGTGAGTCAGTGAGGTGAGTTGGGCTCATGGGGGCAAGAACAGAGAGGGGGCAAAAAAGCCAAATTCTATAGCAGGCAGAGAGCCACCAAGCACACACTGAAGCCTTTAACCAACATCAGGGGATCAGGGCTAGTTTTCCTGTCCTGCAGCTGGTAGTCATTTTTCATTGGGCCCCATTGGAGATTCTGGCGTTTTAGAAGATTGGTGAGTAAAGAGGAACTGGCAATAATAGCTAACATTTCTAGGATGCTTTACTATTTACAAAGGGCCTTACTCGCAACCATGTACAATGTAGGGTGGGTGTTATCAGTATTATTGTCCCCATTTTATAGATGAGGAAACTGAGGTTCAGAGAGTTGAAATGACCAACTTACCTGTCTAGAAAATAATGGAGCTGGCATTTTAATGATCATAATAATGATGACAATACTATTATTGCTAATAATAATTATAATGAAATTTATAGAGTGCTTGAGATTTACAAAGCACCTTAAATACATGATCTCATCTGATCCTTACAACAACCCTACAAGGCAGGTGATATCATTGTCTGCCTTTTACAGATCAAGAAATTGAGGCTCAGAGAATTTAAATGATTAGTCAGGGGCACATCTTGTAAGTGTACAAGGTGGGATTTGAATCCAGGTCTTTTCATTTCAAATGCAGGGTACTACCTACTGTATCACAATGCCATACATGTATACATATATGTGCGTGTGTGTGTGTATGTATATATATATGTGTGTGTGTGTGTGTGTATATATATATACACATATATAAAGTTCTGATGATTCCATATCATAAACCAAGCTTAAACAAAATTTATTCCCAGGATAGTGAGGTATATGGACATGTATTTGTGAAAAATCAGTCAAAAAAGCACCTTTTATAGTCCAGATATCCTGAAAGTTTAAATGAAATTCTCAGACTATCAAATAAAACACAAAATAACAATTCAAATCCAATAGAAGAAAGGTAGCATCAGGTAATATAAAAAAAGAGAATGAAAGAAAATGGCATTTCATGTAAAAATATTGAGAAACACATTATGTGTTTTAGGTGCCATTAGTATAATGGAATGGCAGACACTCACACAAGAAAAGCTCTATGTATACAGATAATGGAGACAAAGACAGAGACAGTGAAAAGCAATTTGCATATAGGAAAATGATACATTCCATGTGTCATGAAAATCACTCTGTATGCAGGCAGACCCTGGCAAATGTAATTTGTTCTGCACAAACATTACATTAAGAGACAACATTGTGGGGTGGTTAGTTCCAAACAAGCTCTGTTATAAATGGGACCATGAGCTGTCTGGTGCTCAGGAGAATTGAGGATGCTGCGGATGAAGGGCTAACCCGTAGGATAGCTGACCATTCTACTGGCATTGCGGTCTCTGGCTGGATAGACATGAAGTAGACCTCTGTGATATTAAGGGAACTTTGATCAGCAGATGTAAATGCAGTGAAAGCAAAGCTTATTCCCTTCTTTGTATTTATCCCCAGAACTTAGCACAGAACATAGTATACAGTACTTGATAATCATTTAATAAATGCTTGTTGATCATTCAGCTGATAATCTAGTAATCATATTATTATAAAGCCACATTGGCTGGGATCATGCCTGTATAAGAGGCAAAAAGAGTCTTTGGATTAGCTCTGAGCATTTCCTTAAAACCACCATTGCTTCCTGTTACATTCCATTAAAATGCCTTCCTCCTCCCCCAAAAAGTCCCACTCATACATTTACTGCAGATCAGAAAATTTGGTAGCAAAGCTTTCTGGGTTCATCCAGAATTTGAAACACGGAGGCAGCTTGCTGTGAAATGGTAACTCAAAGGAGATGAAGACGTTCAGCTCATAGATCAAACTATGTTAGTTGCAGAGACCAGACGCCAAGTTGAATGACAAATCACCAAGGCCCCATTTCCAAAAGCCATGACATGGCTCAGTTTCCGTACCTCTACATAACTGTGCCTGTCACCTGAGGAGTAACTGATGTACGGAGAGTAGGAGATCATATCTGGGCGGTCGATGTTATAGATGGCCTTGTTTTTAGGAAGGGCAGCCAAGTCTCTGTAGTCAAGAATCTCATCTCCAAGCTTAGCCTAGGAAAGAGAGGAAAGACCAAAGAGAAGAGGGGAGTCATTAGAGCCAAATCAAAATTAGACGGAGGGGAGCCAAGAACCAATGGTCATCCCCAGGTGCAGAGGAGCCATTCGACAAAGCAACGAGCTTATAGTAGAAAGCACATTGGACTCCAGAGTCAGAAGAGCTGGGCTTGAGGACCACTTCTGCAGCTTGTTACTTGCGTGCTCCTGAGCTAATCACATCTCTGATTTTCAGCTCCCTTATCTGCAAAATGGGCATGGCAAGAATCATTGCACCAATATTAAAAGGATTTCATTGAACTTAGGATTGTTTAATTATAGATCTGAAGGTCACCTTAGTCCAACCTACTCAATTTAACAGATGATGAAGCTGAGGTCCAGAGAGATGAAATGATTTGCACAAGGTAATGCACTTATTAAGAGGCAGGTCAAGAATTAGAACCCATGGGGCAGCTAAGTGGTGCAGTGGATAGAGCACTGGCCCTGGAGTCAAGAGGACCTGAGTTTAAATCTGGCCTCAGACACCTTACCTTACTAGTTGTGTGAACTTGGGCAAGTCATTTAACCCCGACTGCCTCACCAAAAAGCAGAAAAAAAGAATTAGAACCCAGGACTTCTGACATTAAGTATCATGCTCTTGCCACTTCATCGAGAGGCCTCTTCTTTAGATATAAAAGTGAACTCAAAAGTCATCCAGCTCAATAGTATATTATACATATTATTATATAATATATAATATTATATTATATATATTATATAATATCATATTGTAGAAAACTTGGGCCTACAATAGCTCTCTTCTCTGAACTCCTAAAGTACTTCTTATCTGTGTCTTTTATTCTGACATTTTATTACTATGTTCTTTCATAGTTTAATTGCTTCATATGGATGTCTTGTCTCCTCGAGGCTCATATTTCCTACTTCTATATTCCGCTAGTGCTTAGCCACATCCAAAGCAGGTGGTGAAATTTTTTTTTTTTTATGGACAAGGGAAATTTTTTTTTATATAATATAGATACACACAAAGAGGATATAGTCAAGAATACTAGTGATGGGTTACCTGAAATACTAAGAATTCAGAGAATTGTAGAGCTGAGAAATCACCCCCTCAACAACCATGCACACTCACCCTCCACCCCCCAATGTTCCCTTCCAAATGAGTCAAGCCTTTCTAGATAATTATTGATATATAAGATATATATATTGATATATAAGATGTATATTGATATATAAGATATGTATATATAATTATATATATTATATATATAATATAAGATAATTATTGATCAAATATATTCTTCCTTTTCCTTTTCCCTACTTTTCAACTATATTCAAGTGGGCTCTGTGTACCTGGCTATCTTTTAATAGAGGTTGTCAGCCAACCATTGAATATTTCAAGGGGAAAAGTCCCTAAAGTGAGTTACAAGTTTTACCCAAATAACTTTTTTTGGGGGGGGGGGTGAGGTAATGAGAAAGATAACAAATACCTATGGCAACAAGAGCAAAAATAATAATAACACTAATGATAATGTGCTTTTATGGTTTAAAAAAGAAGAAAAACTCTCATATGGGGGACATCATTGAGTCTTCATGAAAGCCTACTGAGGTGGACCAGGTCAAAGCACCATAGTTTAGCCATTTGAGATGTAGTCCAAATCTCGTTTTACAGGTAAGGACATTGAAGGGCAGAGGTGAAGCACATGCCCATAGGCACATAGGTTCTGAGGAGACAAGTTGGAATTTGAACCCAAAGTCTCCAACTCAAAGCCATCACTCTTTTTATGGGTACCATATTCCCATTGTATAGAGAAAGAAACAAGCTCTGAGACAATGAGTAATGTGGTGAGAGCACAGAGACAGGCAGAATGATTGCTTTTTCTTTTTAATATTCAGAAACTACATGTCTTGGACATTTGGACAGTAAGATGAATGCCACGTACTCTTTAGCATTTGTCCTTCACAGGGTGACTTTCAAACTTATTTCCATTTAATGTAGCATATTTCACTTGGTTGCTACAGCAACTAGCTGGGTCATACTACTAAAATGAAGGCCATTTAGATAGGCTTCTTCTCCCCTCCCCCCACACCCTTCCTTCTATGAGTTTCTTCTCCTAATATATAAGAAAAGTCATACAAGTGTTGTGGAAAGAGCAACATGTTGGGCATAAGGAAACCTGAGTTCTCATCCTGACTCTGATATTCAATTAGTTGTATAGCTTCAGGCAAGTCACTGTACCACTCTGGGTCTCAGTTTCCTCAATCTGCCTCAAGATGGGGGTTCTTTCTCATTAGAAGTATTTAAGCAAAAAGTGATGACCATTTGCTGGATAACTTTTGGAGGTGATTTTCATCTAGGTGCTGGTGGGACTGGAGGCTTCTGAAGGATATTTCTAGCACTAACATTTTATGTCCTATGTTCTAGGTCAGTGTGAGCTCTGGCATTTCATGTTGTAAGGTCTTCCTAACCTTTATGATCTCTGTTCTGTGTTTTTAAGATCCTTCCAGCTCTGATGTTCTAAGGTCCCTCATGGCTTTGACATATGTACGTATAGACTTACAGAAAATTTTCAGCTGCAAATAGGTAGTTACACAGCAGAAGACCCTCTCCCTAGCTGAAGTGCTGAGCATTTCCATTTTGTATCATCCATTCTTCTACATCACCATTTGAGCATATATAATTAAAAGTTTTCTATCTGAAGTTTTGACCATGCAACTAATAGACGACAAGGCAAAGATCATCTACTCTTTGTATAATAAAACCATGTCTGTTTTTAATATAAAATGAAAGATGATATTCTTTTTCACTAATTTTACCTTTGACTTTTTAAAAAATTAGGTTCCCTGTCCAGTTGTCAGAAATTAAGATGCTAAAACAAGCAACAATGGTCTCAGTAACAAACTGCAAAAACAATTGTGGATGAAAAGAAGAAAATGCAAAATTTTTGTTTCTTATAAAAGTTAACAGGTTTTAAAACAAAATAAATAATAGTATTTCTGGTTTCTTTTATGATCTTTTTAAAAAATTAAAATGTTTGTGCATGTAAAATGTTTGCTTGGCTTGATAGTTACTAAGCCTAGAATATATTTTCGAAGTATTTTTTAAAAAAGATTTATGGTACTGGAATATTCGGCTTATTAGACATACAATAAATTAGGTAACACCCCTACTACTACAGCGGCAACTAGGTGGTAAAGTTATTACAGCAGTGGACCTGAAGTTGGGAAGACCTGAGCTCAAATCAAGCCTCAGCTACTTACTAGCTGTGTGATCTTTGTACCTCAGTTTCCTCACCTGTAAAGTGGGGATAATAATAGCACCTACCTCCCAAGGTTGTCATGAGGATCAAATGAGATAATTTTTGTGAAGTTATCAGCAAACCTTAAAGCACTATTACATAAGCACCATATATAAATGCTAGCTATTATCATTACTACTACTACTATCACCAATGAATGTTGGTAAGTCATTTAATTTCTCTTAACTCACTTCCCTCACCTATAAAAGAAACTGAAAGGCCTTTAAAGTCCCTCCAGCTCTAAATCTGTTGTTTTATTATGATCCTAAGGGTTGGGTTCCCTAACACTAGAGGTCTTTAAGTAGAGGCTAAGATGGCCACTTGGGCACACTGTAGAGGCAACTTCTATTGAGGCATAGGTAGGACTAGATAACCTTTAAGGTAAACTTCCATCTGTGAGAGTCTCAACTCAGAGTAATCACACAAATATGTATATGCATATACATGCATCTATATAGCTACCTAGGACATTTAAACCCCCTTATTTTATTTTATTTTATTTTTTTTACAAATGAGGAATCTGAGACTCTGTCATGGTTTGAAGAGGTTGCTCAGCTTCTCTGAGACTCAATTTCCTCATCTGGAAAACAGGGAAAATTATGTCTGCCTAAATTCCTCACAGTGAGATTGTGAGGATCAAATAAGATCATATAAGCAAATCACTTAGTAAACTTTAAAACACAAAATAATGTAAATATATATAGACATATATACATACATAAATGCATACACATGTATGTGTACTACATAATCATTACCTCCACTTGGCTTTGTCAGCTTATAGGTTTTTTTAAAAAAAAAAACCTATAATACGTCATTTTTGTGAAGTAAAAGAACAGTGTCAAAATCTGGACACCCATTCCAGTACAAATTAGGTAAACAATGAAAACAAAATCAGCCTATCAACTAAGTGCTTCATGGATTTTTGCCACTGAACTGACTAGTTATTTGGCATCATTTAGATTCAAACCAAGTCCTCAATGTTTCCATGTCACAAGGAATGATGGAAGTGTAAAATATCAGAGCTGAGAGGAACCCTAAAACATAGAATTATCAGACCTTGGAGGGAACTTTGAACACAGAATGACAGAATTAGAAGGGACCTTATAATATAGAAGGTTAGAGCTTGAAGCTATCTCAGACCACAGAATATAGACAACTAAGGATCATAGTAAATTTAATATGTAGAATGTTAGAGATCAGAGGTCATTTAATTCACCCCTCTCTCATTTTGCAAATACTGAAACTGGCTCAGACAGATTAAGCCATTTGTGCAAAGCCATGTGGCCATAACTGGTAGGACTAGAACACAGTTCCCCTGATTCTTATTTTAGTGCCTTTTCTACCATAACAATCATACTGTCTCATGCTTCTTTTATGTTTCTTTTTCTCTTTTTATTTTGTTGGGGGGAATATTTCTTGAGGCAACAAATAAGAAATAATCAATTTTACTCACCAACTATAAGCTGGAAGGATCTGATTTTTCTTTTTACTCATTCAACCCATAATCCCCTCTAACCCTTCCTGCCCTCCCTCTCTCATCCTATACTCACATAAATCACACGACTTGGAGATCCTGATGTATTTGAGGCAGGCACAGAAATTATGCTCTCTGAGGAAGTTCTTGTTTCCTAGAGGGGGAAAACAGGAAGAGGAAAATTGAAGACAAATCATTACAAATGGAAGTACAGGTTAGGGAAAAATCATAGGTACTATTATTATTTCTGTGTAGCTCCTAGAGAAGGCAAACACACAGTTGCTGGCTCTCCAAGTGTCAGTTGGTCAAACATTCAGCTACATTAACTAAGTTTCTACTATGTGTAGAGACAGAACCAAATAGGTAGGTATGTTACTTTGGGAAAGTTACTTCCCCCTTGGGGGACTCAGTTTCTCAATATATAAAGTAGGGATGTTGGAGTAAATGAATATAAGGTCTCTTTGGGGCAGCTAGGTGGCGCAGTGGATAGAGCACCAGCCCTGAAGTCAGGAGAACCTGAGTTCAAATCCGGCCTCAGACATATAACACTCACTAGCTGTGTGACTCTGGGCAAGTCACTTAACCCCATTGCCTAGCCAAAAAAAAAAAAAACGTCTCTTCTATCTCATTATTTTCTATTCTTTAACATTCTATCTTCTCTGAATCATCAAAATCTTACATGATTTGAAAGAATTGCAGAAGTCATGTAGTTGACCTTTCTATTTATATGCTGAAAAATAGGCTCTGCCTGAATATATGCATGAATGAAGAAATCAGTATCCCTTGTTGAAGCCCATTTTATTTTGGGATAGCTCTAATTATTGGAAAAATGTTTTCATATATTGAACCAAAATCTGTCTCCTTGTGACTTTCATCAACTGGTTATTGTTTTCTTCTTTGGGACCAAGAAGAAAAATTCCACATGATAATTCCTTTTCTATGTGATAATCCTTCCAATATTTGAAATCAGCAATCTTATTCACCAAATGTCTTTTCTTCTCCAAGATAAGCAACTCCAACCACTTCAATCTATCTTTTTGTGAAATGGTTTTGAGGAACTCCACCATCTTGGTCACCCTCCACTGGACACACTCCATTTTTTCAATGTATTACTTTAAGTGAATCATCAAGAACTGGGTTCAATATTCCAGATATGCTCTGACCAGGGCACAGGACACCAGGATTGTTGCTTCCCTTATTCTGGGCTTCTACTGATATAGCTGAAGTCCATATTAGTTTTCTTGGCTAACTCATTTTTAGCTTGTATTCTACTAAAATTCCTAGGACTAAAAAAGACCTAGAAATGCTTGAATTCTGTTAACTGTAATGTTGTATGATCTATGGTCTAAGGCTCTTTCCAGGCCTGATATTCTATATTCTCTGATTCCACCACAGAGGCATTTGTCTGATGGTTCATACTTTCTAAGTGAGAATAGACTAGAGACAAGTACCAAGACTGCTTATCCAGGTCTATAATCAGTGAATAACATCTCACCAAATATCATCAGTCCTTTCAAGTCTCATTTTGATAGAGGCCCACAATCATGAAAAGTCCCTTAAATTAAGCAATCCTTTTCCAGTTTCTGGTTGGTGGTCATCCTATCTGTGCAAAGCTGTTCGTAGCACCTAGCACAGTGTCTGGAACCTAGCTGACACTTAATAATTGACTGACAGGGCATTACAATGACATTATCTCCACCCACAAAGAGCTTACAAATGAATATCCACATGAATATTTGCCTCTATTGCTGCAATAAGTAGGAAAGGATTTTGGGGGTACAAAGGAGATCCTGGCAGAAATAAAAGCACAAACAGTGAAAACATCCAATTGTTAACCTCTTATCTTTCTACTACTTCCATAAAATTATTCCCAACCTTCCAGGAATACTGAATACCATACAGTCCTTGACCTCTAGTCAAACAACTTACTGCCTTGGTTCATTTCTGCTTATAAAGGAGCAACGTTATATCATTAAAGAGCCCTGGGTGAGAAGTCAAGAGATCTGGTTTCAAATCCTACCTCTGATGTTTCCCTGAATGACTGGGCCTTCACTTCTCTGAATGTTCATTGCCTCATCTATAAAATTAAGATAATGTTTGTCCTCTACCTCATGGGGTATGTGGTAGCTATATAAAATATTATTATTACGGTGGAAAGCTAACAATGATACAGAGCAGGGTGAACTGAGACTTTGTCTTCAATTCCAGTTTAAACTTCCTACCAGTTCCCTGTATCAACCTCAAATGATTCTCTTTCTTTGTAAATAAAAGGTTTCTCCCCTCACACCATACACACCATACCCTTCCTCCAAAGTCAGAAGATTAGACTGGGATGAGGAAAAAAGCACTAGAATTCAAGTCAAAAGACCTTGGTTTGAGTCCTGACACAGACACTTGCAATCTAGGTCATCATATAGATATCATCTAAACTCTCTGAAACTTAATTCTCTCATTTATAAAGTGGAGATGATACTTGTACTACCTGCCTCACTGCATTGTTGCTAATAATATATTTATAAATTGTAAAGTGTTACAGAAACGTGAGTTATTGTTATCGTCGACTCTCAATCATATATATCTGCTGGAACGGTTAATAGAAAAGTGGGAATAATCTGATTTGTTGTCAGTGGGAACATTCAGTGGTTCTGATCCCTCAGAGAAGAGCTTCCACCTGCCAAAATGCTATCCAGCTGAGACAGAGCCATAGTCCAGTTCCCTATGTCACCCATATTTCCCTAATATCTGACAAGGCCATGACCTTGGGCTTGCTAGAAGGTATTCCAAAGTTGCATGGCATGGAATAGATACCCACATGAATGGACAATCTATTACATAAGTAATAAAGAATTGATTGTGTCTACGAATTGAAGCCATTCCTTCAATATGCTGAACAACATGGACTGAGCCAAGGTCACAACATTGCCAAACTGACACCTGAAGCTTATGTCACAACACAGAAAGCTTCACACACAAACCTTGAAGGCATTTTGGGTGGTGATGGGGCAAACCTGATTGCAAATTTGACTCTGCATCTATAAAGGAAAAAAAGAGTAGAAGGAAATGATATTACATTAAAGAGCCATGTAGTGATACTTCTGGGATTTTTACATGATGAACCCATATGGTGTCTATGGTGGAAATGTCTCATTGATGAGGACAGTAATTGTACCCAGCATCCATCAAGCTGGTATGGGAACTGATCCATGCATGTTTGGAGAGCACATGAATTTCAAGCAGTGACAACAGTGCTATTTTTAAAAAATGTTTTGTAATCCTATACCAATTTTAGGTTTATAAAGCACTTTCCTCACAACAGTTCTATGAGGTAGCATGGTATGATGATGACCATTATTTTATAGATGATAAAAGAGGTAAAATGATTAGCCCATGGTCATATAGCTTGGAAATACCAGAGCCAGGTTTTGAAACCAGTTCTCTTGATACTAAGTCCAGTGCTCAATTCATGACACCATGCTTACTTTCCACACTGGGTTCATTTTAGAGAAGAAAAAAACCAGATTAATATTAGAACATTCTCAGCAAACAACTGGTATACTAATACACAGAAAAATCAAAACACAAACAGTTAAAACATCCAATTGTTAACCTCTTATCTTTCTACTACTTCCATAATTTACTGCTTCTGATAATACAGTGTAGTAGGAAGCATGTTGGACTTGGAATGAAAAGAACTAGATTTGTATCCAGGTTCTGACACCTATAATCTATATGAACTTTGGAAAATAATTTAATCTCTCTATATCTTAGTTTGCTATTTTGTAAAATAGATATAATAAGAATTATACTACCTTTCTTGCAAGGTTATTGTCAAAAAAGTGCTTTGTAATCATCACCGTGTCAAAGAAATATGAATAACTATTATAACTTTCTTGGGATTATGTTGAATGTGTTTTAACAGACATTATAGTTGTTTACAGACCTCTTCCTCAACTGGTCTTTACTGATGGACACATGAGTAAGCAATTATGTATATACTGGCAAAAGTAAAAAATTTACACATATGCTAGTATATTGTATGCATATGACCTTGTGATTTAGACCAAACGTGAAGAGTAATATATGCCTTAATAAGCTCAGATACAACCTCTCCTTTCCTTACCCTTTTTACAAAATACTTCTTATGTCCTGTTCCCAATTCAATAATTCTCCCCTCCTCTCTTTACCTCCTCTTTACCTCTTCTCTTTTTTCCTCTTCTCTCTTCTCTCCTTCTCTTCCCTTCTGTTCCCTTCCTTTCCCTTGTTTTCTCTCTTCTCCTCTTCTCTCTTCTCCTCTCCTCTTCTCTTCTCTTCCCTTTCTTTCCCTTCTCTTCTCTCCTCTGTTCTCTCTCTTTCCCTCCTCACTCTCCCTTTCCTCACTCTTTTCTCCCTCACCTCTCCTCTCTCTCCCTCACCTCTCTTCTCTCTCTCCTTCTCCCTTCCCCTCTCATTACAAGGTAGATTCACGTACAAGGCACTACAACTTTATGAACTTAGTAGTCAATTTTACTCTAGGCTCTGGTGCATTGTGATGCAATGCCAATACAAAGTTGGGTACTGAGGTGAATAACATACCATCAGAGTGAGGACTCAAACTTTCTTTGACCTAAAAATGGCATGATAAATTTGAAACTTCAAAATTGTATTTTCAGTACCAACTACTACATTAAGTTGTCACCGTCCAAATGCATTTACCTCCTGTCTAGGAACCAGTAGAAGTCAGGGAGAGCTGACTTGAGTTGTGGTTCACACAGACAAACAAAGGCAGGGTAGCTGTTTAAGCCTGTCTGCTTAGCTAGCCCAGATAATAGTGTAATCATCAACTGACATCTCCTTACCTGTTAGTCAAATTCTAAAGGCTCACTATATAATCCAAAAATGCTTAAAGGCACAGATAATCAGCTAGGCCACTTAAATCTACCGTCAATTACTAACAGCCCCTTCACTTCCTTATCTATAGCAGTGATACTGCCCTCCTTTGCTTTCCTACAGTTTGAGTGCTGACAGAGCCAGATGCTGTCCCTAGCCATGGTGCTGATCACTTTTAAAATAAACAAACACACCTACTATTTTAAATCCTGCTCTTATTTTTACTGACTACATCCTCTAGGTATACAAGCATACTTTTGCTTCCAGTTGAGGAAACTGAAGCTCAGA